AAAGGACTCTTCCCACAAATTTTCAACACTAACAACTATTCTTGATTAAAGATGGGCAATGGTCAACTAATCAACTTTCAATACTATGTCTGTGTGTGTGTATAGAGTTGGAGATATTTTATGTCAAAAGGTTAATAAATGATGTGAAAATAATTAGCCAGTAATACATAGGTCATAATAACTGTAGTATTATTAAAATATACACAATTCAAATATGACATGATAAAACTATGCAAACACATTGAGTCTTAAAAAGGAATTATATTTTTTCTAGTAATCTATTAAGCATTCTCTCACTGGAATTTTTAATGCATTTAAATAATCCCTATGTGTTATTCAAAATACAATACATAAAATTATTATAAGTTGTCCAGATGCTAGCAGAACATTGGTCTTTTATGTTTTAACATATTTATATATCCAAAAAGGCAGGTTTATTATAAAAAGGGAGAAAAGAATAAAGGACACATGCACAGACACAAGTGGGCATAAAAAGCTCTCCCTGAAAGGGACAGGTTTTCAAAATATTCTATTAAAAATAATGCAATTTAACATCTCCCTAATTATTCTTGATGTTTTAAAAAATGTTTAACTTTCCATATTTATCTGACAAGTAAGAAAGCCCTCTTTAAAGAACTTCAACATTTTTCTTTGTACTTCCAAAGCTCTGTTTTGAGAAATACTTGCTCATGGGATATCCATGGGAAACGATAAAGTGATGTAGGTCTTATTGAGAATGTTCTCAGGCAAGTACTTAAAACACTATCCAGTGGTGTGATTATGACATCCAGACCAAAGATGTTTCCGTGGCTTTACTAAGTATATACTTATCCCCATTTTTCACACAGATATTCCTTGAGATATGAGTTTTTCAAAATATTTCTCAAAAGAGATCCTAGTTAAACAATTTAGAATTCTTTGTACATTTCATCTTTCCATACAAAACTCACAATCACAATAGCTCATGAAAAGTCCTAACAAATAGGGCCTCCCCAGTGGCGCAGCAGCTGAGCACTGGGTTGCGTCCCGGGCCACCGGATGAGGGTCCCACATGGCACGCAGACCTCTCCTGCCATGCCCACTGCTCCCCTCAGCAGTGTATTTCATCAGTCTGCCTGTTCTGCTCCCTGCTCTGGCTCTGGTGAATTCTCTCACCCTCCCACACTTCTGACTGTGCCCAGCGCTTGTATAAATAAATAAATAAATCTTAAAAAAAAAAAAAAAGTCCTAACAAATATTGAAGTAAGGTGAACTATTTTTTTTGTTTTTTAACACCAGACTTTCCCGGTGTTATTGACTATAAGATTCAAGCAATTCTATCTCCCTTAGTTTCTATACTTAATTACTGCATACTGTCTGATTATGAAATGGTTAACATGGTAAATTTTGTTATATGTATTCAACCACTATTAAAAAAAGAAATGATCCAATCTTGGTTTGAGACCCCACTGAAATAACAAAGTATTTTTTCATGCTTGAGAACATGACTTGCCTGGAAATAAAACAAGGTCCTTAAAAATGTCTAAAGTTCCTCCTCTATCATTGCAAAACATTTGTCTTGACCAAAAGAGAAGGCAACAATGGATTCTAGAAAGGAAATTAAAGTTGTCAGAATAGTGAAAATAGGTATTTTCACTACCTAAATTGCCATCCATTATGGCTACAACAACAGATTTGAAAGTGAATTTTCTCTCTGCTGCAGAACAAAAAACAATATAGTTTTCTATAAATGTAAAATAGTATTTCATGAGTGTTTAAAAATTTCATTTTCTGCAGTAGTATAAGGAGTAAAAAACATGTTCTGTGAATTTTTTAAGGTTATATAGAAAGCATTTGATTTATCAAAGTATCCATTAATATAAAAGAATTAATACATTCTAAGAAATAGGTTAGGAAAGTATTAGTGAAGTATAATAAGATTAATGAACTATAAAACTCATAGCAAGGCCTCCCCTGGTGGCTCAGTGGTTGAGCGCTGGGCTGCGAAGCTGCCCGCAGCCTCTGCAGTGCTGGTTCGATCCCCGGCCACAGGCAAGGGTCCCACGTGGCGTGGCAGACCTCTCCTGCCGCACCCACTGCTCCCCTCAGCAGTGTATTTCGTCAGTCTGCCTGTTGTTTCCTGCTCTGGCTCTGGTGAATTCTCTCACCCTCCCGTGCTTCTGACTATACCCGGTGCTTGCATAAATAAATTAATCAAAAAAAAAAAAAAAACTCATAGCAAAACTGAGAATGTTTAAAAATATTGTTCTTGTTGCCTAAGAGTCTACTAAACTAATTTTATGAGGGCATGGAATATATTCATCTTGTTCACTGCTAATTTTTTTCATTCCTGGAATAGTATCTAGCTTTACAGACACTTAGTAAATATTTGTGGTGAATGAGTTAGTAAATTTAGAATAGATTTAAAAAGCAGAAAATTGCTTTTTAGGCAATGGTTAAAGTAACACCAGTGAAGGCACATTTCGGTCAATGATTCAAAATATCAATTGATCATTTAGATATCTAACTAATCACAAGTTCCATAATTCATCAAATATACATTAAACACATTAAACACTCATTACCAAATTCATCTAAATCTTACATATGGAATTTTACTCATAAATCTAAAACCTACATTTAAGGAGACCAACATCTTCAACACTTAAATATTTAATAACCTATTCTTCACATGAATCACTTAGTCTGATGGACTATTACTGAACTTTTCTAATGAAAACTAAGCAATAAAATTATATCCCTTGGATTTTCTTATAGTCTTCTACGAAAAACACGCTTAATGAAATTTTCTATATATTTAATATATCCAGTGGAAAGATATTAATGAAATGCTAATGCTAGCCCTTTGAATTAATATTTTTCAAAATATGTACTATTTGTGCAAAAACATTAAACTGAGGAATGACTAAATGGTGTTTTGTTTAATCCTGACACAAGATTTAAAGATGAAAGAATATGTTATTATCTGGGAAGAATATTAAAATAGAGGTAACTAACACTTTTTAATATATTTCCTAGCCCCTAATTACTGTTTTTTGTGCTTTTTGATTTAGAAAGCCTAAAATATAAGCAAGGAAAGTAGAACATAGTTTCCACATGATTAGCTAAAGGGTCAAAACTTTGGAATCACTTTGAAATCTACTTTAAAAGCTCAGCTACTTCGACTTATTTTTTCTGTTATAGAACCATGAAAAGTTATTTCAACTGAATTGCATACATAACTCCTAGAGTGTAGACAGTTGCTATTATTTGTTCACTTCATCAAAATGCTTTTTAAAATTCTTGCTACATCTGTATTACCAGGTCCTAAAGAAACTAAGGTGAAAGAGGCCTGGGAGAAGCCAAATCCTCTTTGCTATTTCTAACAAAGGAAATGCCATTCTTGCCACTAACTCTTGGAATGATTTCCAAGTTCTCTAAAATTAATTTAACCTGTGTCAAATAGCTGTCTCATCTGGAAAACTCAATAAATGAATGTAGAAGTTAGAAAAGTAGGGAGAAAGTTAGGTGTTAAACTGAAATGGTATATCCCAGACATGTAAGATTGAAACTCTAAATTAGCCAGCAAACTTCCACACATCTGCCCACTTTTCTTTAAACTTGAGCTATATTATTGCAGAAAAGCATAATAATCCCCACTCTGATCTTGTATTTTAAATGAACGACCTGAACCATCACAGTATAAGCATCTTGTCCATTATGGGTGGCTGGATTTTCCTTGTGGTCAGCATTTCTACCTTCAAAGAGAAGATTATACACGGAGAAAAAGTAGGCATGAAATATTTCTGTGTAATGACAATGATTCTAATTTGACATTGGACTTTGAAGAGGACATGCATATTATATTATGCTTCACTTTGAATGGTAGTTGATTTCTTTGAATTCTTGTGCAATTCACACTTCATTGTACCTGAATAGTTTTTTTACATGTAGAAACCTCGGCTAAATTGTATAAAATTAAAATGTATGCTTTATTCATTCAAAAATGTAGACCATTGTGAACTATTTTGTTAATTCAAAGCACTTTTGACATGCAATTATTCAAAAAATATTTTTTTAACTCACTTACATGATTTTGCAAGGAAATTTTATTTTATAATTTTCCACCTGTTAAATTATTTAAGGTTAACATTTATTATATGTTAGTCCATAAATGAAATGTCATTGCCTATAATCACTTTCAGACATCTGTTAGTGTCTTCAGGCAGAAGAACTGGAATATTTTTAGGAGGGATGACTTACCACATGACTATTAACTTTTGCAGGGTAGCAGCTAAGATTTTTCAAGGTAATCAAAGACACAGTGGAAACATTCTGAATTTTAAACATTTTTCTATTGTCTTTTTTGATATTAATGCCAATTTATAAATTTTTCTTCAAGAAAAAGTTTTGGTTCACTGGTGTAAGAATAAAAAATGAAACTCAGCTTGTCTGATAGGGCTTGTGCTAGTGCAAATAGATTCATGCTATGAAACTTTCCCCACTCTCATAATTTGTTATAGAAGTTATATGGAAAAATGAGAAGCAATGAGATTATATGAAATAATCTCCCATTTGCCAAAAATCATGTTTAACAACTTATATACAATTTCTCAAAAGAGTTATGTGATGTGTAAGAAAAAAGAATTAATCAAAAGTAATCCTTTACTCTTTTATTTCTCTACCAAATCTAGAGGTCCATGCCTGTTTTAGTAGGACATAACATGTCCACTAAGAAAGAAAAATCGGCAATTTTGCTCCCTCCCCCATCCCTGGATGCAGTCACTGCTTTTTAGTCTGAAAAAAAAAGGGAGTCCAGCACAATACGGCAGTCAAAGAGATACTACTGCTTTTATTAAGTTATACTCTTTGAAAGTCAGATGGGGACTTTCAGGAAAATGGGCAAATACTCTGAATAAAGCATAGTTTTCAATTGATTTCATAAAAATAGTTAAAATGAATTGGAACATAAACATAAAATTTTAATTCTGAATATTATAGATGAATAAAAGGATACATTGATTGCAGCTTTTTAAAGATTAAACCAAATGTATAAGTAATCTAGGAAGTTATACAATCAAATTTTTATATCATTTAATACCATTAAATTTGGCATGGCTGACTATTTTAGATATGCTGTATTTTTGTTAAATTGTGCTCAGATATGAGAAGAAAAATGTGAAGAAAGGGTCAGAGATGATATTGAACTGATAAAAACAAGTATTTTTAATGTCATAAATCCTTCAGTAAACAAATCCTTCAGTAAATTCTATCCCGAAGTTTTGATTTGAAAGGTACTCAGGCATATACATGTCATATAATGTCAAAACTGTCCATTTTTATCCCCATAAAGCTTGTGGAACATGAGTACCAGCATTGTCTATCAAGAAAGTTATTGTTCTCTAATATGAATTAACCAGTATTTTGAAAGCTAATAAACTACTTGAGAGCAAAAATAAAATTATATTTATTACTGTAAATTTCTTAGGCTTATCACAAGACTCATGCTTACAAGTGGCTGCAGAACTGACCAAGCAGATGTGCAATTTGAGTCAAGATTACCAATGTGGACTAAAAGCCTGATTCCAATCAGGTCCTACTCTATGGGAAGTTTATGTTCTTCAGAGCAAATTGCTCACCTTGACTGTTTGTGCTCACTTTTTTCCTGGCTGCTAATCATTTGATGGGGAGATCCCCACTAAACATATTAATGATTTATTGTTAGTGTACATGTTACACTTTTACTCTGATCTTTATATGGCTAAAGTCTTTATAATAGTCTCCCACACAAGAAGTCCTGTTTGAAATCCAATGCATTAGCAAACTGAAGCAGACTTAGCAGTGAAGCAGGATACTGAGAATAAATAGATGAAATTCTAGACATTTCCGAAGAGCATCCAGCTACTTAATGGGCACTGAGGTCTTCAGTGAATAGGTGTGAATATTTTAGTGCAGTCCAACCTGAACCGAAAAGCAGTTCTTACTTCCAAATTTAAATACCACCTGTGCATATTTAAAAAAGGTTCATTTATTAGTCCAAAATGTTACTACAACTGGGAACTTGAAAAAACACTCTCTTTTTCTTAGCTATGTTCTTCAGCAAAAGGAAGTGGAGAAGGATAGACGAGAGAATAGAACTTATGCTTGGAGGCCATAAAGTTGAGAAGTCCTGTTTTTTACTGTCCCACAGGAGAGGTTGGGTTGAAGATGGTTGAATAAGTACATGTTGCTGCCAAAGTTAAGATTATAAACCATAGGTGAATTTAGGCACGATTCAATTCACCTATTGAAAAACTGCTAATAGTTGGTTATTGAAGATCATCCAAACCACTTTCCTCACAGGTTGGGCCCATTCTTTTCGAGGGGCAAGTGCAACTCCCATTGAGAGGGTTGCAGTGAGCTTTGTGGCTACACTGGCACTTCAGAGCACAGTTAGGTCCATACTGACCTGGCTTGCATTCTGTGAGGGGGAAAAAAAAAAAAAAACACAATTGAAGTGTGTTTTCCTATTACACGTTATATTTTTACTATTATTTCTTGGCATTCAATAGATAATGCTGCATTTGTAAGAAATTCTTTCTGGCTAACAAAGTGGTATCTTTTTTTCCCTTGCTAGGATGTTATATAATAAAAGTAAGGATCTTAATGGACAATGGGAGGAGGCTGGGGAGTGGCAAGGAAGTTAGTGAAAAAATTGCAGAGGAGAAGCCAGGACAGCAACTTATATTTGTAAAGTGCCCTCGCAGATTAGATTACTCGCTTGAACGTATAGCAGTGGCATCATGAGGGACACAGGGAAAATGGATTAGTTTTCTTGAAAAAGGCAACCCTCACCCAGAATACACAAAATATAAAATTTACTGTTAGGTTAAAAATATAATTATTTTGGCTCATGTTGTCGACCATGAAATGGTTTTAAATTTAACTTTTTCACCTCTTAAAATATGTCAAATGGGTCAAAGATTCCCTGTGCACCTACTTCTATAAAATCCTTCTACATGTGCTAAGACATATAACTGTCTTTAAATTGAAATCGTGATTTCAGAGAAAAGAAGGGAGTAGATAAAAATTCTTAGCTTTATCAAAATAACTTAATGTGGAAAAATGGAGTCTCCCCAAAATCACAGCCAGGCCAGGTGTTCAGTCTTAGTCTGATAACCAGCAGAAAATTAACAAATTCTTTTTCTAAAGGGTTCTGGGATTAAGGACAAAACCAAGCCCAGCCCGTGGAGACAGAAAACGAGTTCATATTTCCTAGCCAGTCAGGCAAGAATGGGAAGTAACAGAACTTTCCAACTTGTAAGTGCAAGAGAGACTTAACTTCCCCAAAGTAACTTGCAATTAGCTTTATATGGCTTACAAAGTGAGCTTCTAGTACATTATCTCAGTTGGTTCTAATTGAGGTAGAGAAGGGAGTGAGGTAATCTCTTTTGTTTTAGAGAGAAGTTAACTGCAATTTGGTATGTCTTGAGGGACCTCAAATTTGATATCACTTGTAAATAAACGGCAGATAGATTTTTCTTAGGCACTACTATGTGGCAAGACACAAGGTATAAGAAAGCCCAGATAAGGAAGTGGAAAGGTAAAAAGTTAACATTTTAGCAATATCAATATGAATACAAAAAAAGAGGTACTAGAGTTAATTCTGAGTTCATGGACAGAATTTTGTTAAACATTTCTTCACTGCCTCACAATACTCTTTGCTGGGTTGGAGATTAGTTTAAATACTCCACAATCATTTGAGTGTTTATATATTTGTTTTTTATTCTCTTAAATAATGAAGGTACGTTAAGATGTGGTCTAGCTTTCTTGTCTTTATTAACACATTATGTTTTAAATATGAATTAGATGGAAACTTATAAATCAATTTTAAAGTTAATTCTTTTTACAGAGATTCAACATAAGTGAACATTAATCCAATCTCTTTCTAAACAAAGGAACAAGTAGGTGAAAGGAGCTTTGGAGGTGATCTAAATGCTACTGTGTAACAAAATCTTTGCTTTAAAACATTAAACTTTGTGAACATTAAAAAATAAAATCCTGTATTATTTCAAATTTAGTTTAGCACAACTTATGTCTGCCCATATGTGAGAGGATTACTTAGCTTAGTGGTAAGACTTAGTTTTCTTGTTTGAAAAGAGTTATGAATCAGAATCTCTCCTGAGTAGTTTGGAATCTGATTTTAATTTATAAAAATACCACATTTTCATGTTAATAACGATGTGTATTTAAGACATCTGTTTGAATGTCTGTAAATGTTAATTTACCAAGCGGGTGGGGAAATAATCCAATAAAAAACTGCTGCATTCTTTTATGAATTAACATTATGGCTGTTTAATAGGTCCTTTACCAGAGTTCAAATTAAAATGAGGTCTTTTATCTTTATAGAGCCTACATAGACACAGCTGCTCACAGTTAATATCACAGATGAACTGTGCCTAATTGAAAATAAAAATGCAAATAAAAGACCCTGCGGTACATCTGTGTAGGCTGTTGTTACCCAGAAAAGCTCATGACAAGGTGGGCTTTGAGGTGCTCACCAATAATGAACATGTTAATACATATAATCCACTGTCACATGGCAATTTACTTGTGGATAAAAGAGACTATACAATATAGGAATTTATTCTACAGAGGTAGAATGAGCCTTTGATTTCATTCCTGTTCATAAGCCTTCTTGGTTTAGTGTCTAATTTTAAAGTCATTGCTGAGTGTTGTCCAATAGAACTTTCTGGAGTGATGGGAATATTCTATACTAAATATAATACTGTAGCCTCAGCCACAGAACACTTGAAAGAAGTCATGTGTGACTGAGGAGATGAATTTTAACTTAGACTAAAGTTAAGTTAACAACCAACATGATTAATGGGCAATGCATACTAGAGAATGCGCATAGGATAATAAAAGCAATTCTTGTTCCTTTTCTCCCCTTGAGACACAGTTTAGTGAGGATGTTAAAAATCTGTCTCTGCACCCAGATTGTTTCAAAATCCCAATCTGCCACTTACTTACTGTGTAACCTAGGGTAACTTACTTAATCTTTTTGTGCTTCAGTTCCCTCATCTATAACATGGGGGTACTACGACAATCAAGTGACCTAATAACCAAAATGCTTGGCTCATAATATGATTTAAATAAACATTAGGGGTTTTATTTAATATTTGGATGAAACTATAAGCACTGTAAGCATCTGTGTCTTTGTTGACTCTTTCACTGGTGACATATGTACCGTGATGATACATCAATGCTTATTCGGACAGATTTATATACATACAACAAAATTCAAGTATTTCAGTCTACCATGACTCTGTGAAGAATGGTAGGAAAAAAAGGAAGCATTACAACTCACATTTGCTGAAAATTATCCTGTGCTGGACCTTGCTCTAAGCTTTGTTTTTTGATAAAAAAACATGGATCCAACTTTGAAGAAATTTGTAGTGCAGTGAAACACAAGGATTAAAGATTTAAATGAAACAGCCTTGTGAGAAAGAATTGCTAGTCAGAATCAATAGGCTCCTGAACTGAAAATTACCAAAGGGCCCCAAATCATATGATAACCACTCTGGCCTTAATATAAAAGCCTGTAAAGAAGGGAAGAACATGGGAGAGGAGAGGACACTCCAGTCTTGATGAGCTACTGGTGAGTCCTTATTTCAGAACTACTAAAAGACATTCACACACACAGTGTTTTCACTAATAATATCATCCAAGCTCTCAAACTGGAATGCCTGAGTTCAAATCTTGGGTCCGATACCTACTACTTTATGATATCTTTGCTTTCTCATCTGTCAAATGAGGATAAGAATAGCAACAATCTCAAAGATATTCATTAAATATGAGTAAAGAGTTTAGACCCAGTGTCTGGCATTCAAAAACAGTAGTTTTATTGCTATTTTTTCTGAAGCCAACTGAGGAGGAGGTGGCGATATTGTGTGAATAGTACTCTCTTGCAGCCTAGAAGTTTACCATGATGTTCTAAGCAGTATTGAAAGCCCAGATTGCAGACGCTTAGATTACTGCTAGAAATGATCTCAGAAATTCATAGCCTCAACCTGTCTTTTTGGCAGAGGAGGGATGTAAATTATGAGATTAAATGTTATACTTTGGGTAATAATCTCTGTCAGGGTCAATCCTCAGGTGTATCCGTGAACTGCATAACACATTTTCATCCTGTAAGATCCATTAAGTTTAATAAACAGTGATGAGTCAGCAATTCCTCAATTTGTTTCTCTTCTTAAGACAAACAACTTTATGTTCTAAACCATTCTTGCCATGAGTGGTAAGGAATAAAGTATAGATTTCAATTCCCAAAACAGGGAACTTTGTTCTTATGAATACTGAATAACAGATGTTAATTGCCTTACTTCTACTGGTTTCTCTGAATCACTTTTGTGATCAGGTGTTTAAATGGGTTACTTTGAGGATATTTACAAAGTATCCTCTGTCATTTGTACTGGCTTTGGGTGCCTGTGATGTTACAATGGTGGACAAAGTTCTTTGAGGAAGTAAGTGCTTAGTGTGAAAATGTCTATCTCTCTATAGTTCATGAGTCTGGGGGCATCATGAATGTCTGGCTCATACCAACATCACATCTGGCTCCTGTTCTCCCAGGTGGGCAGAGGCATTTTCCAGTTACAGGGTGGCAGGAGCTTTCTCTTTCACAATTGCAAAGTTGGTGGCAATTCTCTCCAAACATTCCAGGTGAACACTCTGCCAGGAAAAGAGAAATGCTGAAAAATTAACCTCTGGAGCTTTTATTGATGTGAAATGAAATTAAGATTAAAGATATAATTTCCTTTAATTCTGAGGCCCAACTAGCAAAATGTGATAAAATGAGATTTGGTGGCAAGGACAGAAAAGTTTGGTATTTTCTTTTTTAAAGATTTATTTATTTATGCATACAAGAGCTGGGGTACAGGCCAGAGGTGTGGGGTGTGAGAGGATTCATCAGCGACAGAGTCAGGAGCAGAACAGGCAGATTGACCAAAGTACGCTGCTGAGGGGAGCAGCAAGCGAGGCAGGAGAGGTCTGCTGCGCCATGTGGGTTGCTCCCTGGCCGGCAGAGATTGAACTCATGCTGTAGTGGCTGCGGATTGCTTCATAATGCAGTGCTCAACCCCTTGCACCACAAGGGAGGCCCAAGTTTGGTATTTTCACAAAGAAACTATATTTACATATGGTTTCACATTTAGGCCTTAAAATTAATTTACTTAGCACAATGAAAATGGGTTTACTTGACAGTTTTGAACCTGTTAAAATGTATGCAAGTTTTTAAAGATAGAAACGTAACAAAGGAGACTGAGTCTATGATCCAAGTGTATTTCTTTTAACGTTTTTTAAAATATATATATATAAACCAGAGACATTCTGCAGAGGGGGAGAGGGGAGTAGGATCAAAACAGGGTTGGGACTATGGTAATGGTACATGGGTAAATTGGTGGTGGGAATTTCATGGGGACTATAACCAAGATGAGAAAGCATACATTGTACAAAAATGAAGAATGATGTAAAAAATATACACACAAATAAATAAATAAATACTATTGTATATTTATTTACCATGTACCATTCCAGAAGACAGTAAATACCACACTATTTCCAGTTTCATGCGGTAATGGGCACATAATGGGGGCATGTTAAAATGAATCACTAAATATTAAATGACTATGTGAATAAGGATGAACAAGACACTATATGTAAAACTCCAGTGACTTGAAGATATGGTGTAGGACTAATATGTAGATAACTTTTAAAGGCAAAGACAGTGACTCTGATTCATACAATGTCAGATTCATTATCATCATCATTATTTTGGCTATGATGATATATAGAAGAATGTACAGAATAAAAAAAAAAACACAACCGATTATAATGGGAGGTGCTCACTCATTTTGGCATTGTTTAGAAAGGACTTGATCAGTTTTTTAGGTCTTTATATCATCTTATTTCAAACAGAGAAGTATAAATTCTCTTCCATCTTCATCCATATGCATGACTGTCACTATTTTAGAAATAAATGTCCATTCATATCTTTAAAGATATTTCATAAAGCTCTTGTATATTTTTAGTCTCATTAGACCCAATATATGTCATTCTTTTTAAAACAATTAATACAGTTTTTACTCTCGTTTAGATGTAGAATCTTTGTCCACAGAACTCACAGCTTAAGTGGTATTTTGAAATACTAACCAGATTTACTTAGGGGAGAAAACAAATTTTGGCCAATCAAACAAATCAGAAGGATCTATTTTATTGGCTGTAGAGTGAATTTCTATCATTTTAATGTGTAAATAGGAAACTTAGGTGATTATTCCATGTTTTCAATGGGGTTTATATTTATGTTCTCAGATGGAAACCCATCACAGCCACAGAAACCTGACTTTCATATTCTTGAGAACACTCTCGTTATACCTTTTTCACACTGGCTGCCATGGAAACCGGCTGGGCAAAGGCACTGTCCACTTTCTGCATCACAACTGGCCCCATTTTTGCAGTCACAGATGTGAGCACAATTCAAACCATAAAATCCAGGAAGGCATGCTAGAAATGAAATTGTCAAAATGTTATTTTGGCTCTAAGAATAAATAAAGGGAAAATTAAAGGATTCACTTTAGGTCATTTGTTTTCCAAGACCAAAGAAGAACAAGATCCAATAATTGGAAAGCAAGAAAATAAAAGTTACAATTCAATGTTACTTCAATAAACAATGAAAAGAAAAAAAAATACATGGAAAAACATAATGACAATAGTATAATTGACACAGATAAGTGAATATAAAAGTGCCATTTTCTACAACTAGTCTAGAAAAAAATGAGAAACTTTGAAATATTTCTAAGTAAAATTTATTTGCTATGGTATATTATTGTCAGTTAAATATTTCATCAAAACTGTCCAATACCCTCAATACCTAAAAGCAAAATGTCTTCAAACTTCAGCCCAAATTTTGGGCTGATCTAGCCCAAATTTTGTGAGACTGGTTTTGGAATTAAATAATTATTAATAAATTATCTGTGGAAGGTGATTCATATAACACTCAATATTTGTAATCCTGGGAATGAAAGATAGACAGGGTTATGCAGAAATTGGGGGGATGAGAAGGAATAAAAAAGGGAATAAATGACAGAGAATATGATGCTTATACATTTATTCCACGTCTTATGAGGATTAAGTTTTGAAGTCAGTGATACCTACTCTTTGGAAAAAAATCTTACTTAGCCAACCAAGGACAACATAGAATTGAGTCTTGGTAAATCGTATCTGTCCTGTGTGGTTGGAGAAGATTAATACTTTCATTGCTAAACATTCAGAGAAGTGATTGGTTTTCCTCTTAGAGACCATGTGTAAATGCATCTATTTGGATGCTAAAATTGTCTCCTGCCCAGAGAGATGCTCACCCTGAGATGTGTTTGAGAGCTAAGATTGATTGACTGCTGACAAAGGATTCCCTTTTCTTTTCTTATCTATTTTTTGGTGGGTGTAGAGAAACTGGGGTGCAGCCAGAGGTGCAGGGAGTGAGAGGATATACCAGAGACAGAGTGAGGAAGCAGAGCAGGCAGATTGAGTGAAATACACTGCTGAGGGGAGCAGGGGCAAGGAGAGGCCTGCTCTGCCACTTGGGTTATGTCCCTGGCTGGGATGGAACTCAGGCCATAGTATTGACAGCACTGAGACTTAACCTCTAGGTCTGGATTCCCCTTTCTTATCTTGAATTTTCTCAAGGGTTTTGCTCACCATTCAACAATGGAAAAAAGAGGAGATGGAATATCCTCACCGTTCAATTATCTGTGCCCTCCTCTCCCTTCATCTTCCCTTCCCATCACCTCCTCTTCTTTTCTCTCTCTCTTTGTATCTCCCTACTCCCCACTCCAGGCACCTATAGTTGGATGTGTCAAGGCTTTCTGTATATGGACTTACACATGAAATTACTCAGGAAATACTTTTCAGTGGGAAAATAACAGCCAAGGAGCAGAAAAAGGAGATAAAGCCAAAGGAGAGGTAAGGAATAATTATTTTAATAATATACTGTTCCATTTTTTATCTCATTATGACTTTTTGCCCTTTTTTATTGGGTATCACTGCTTTATAATACTGTATATGATTCAGTGATAACAAAAGAAGATTCAGATTCAGTGGAGTTTTTTTTTCTCTTTGTTCTTGTATTATCATCATTGAAAATGCATTTAAAAAGCAAATCTCCTTTAACTCCCTTATCTTAATTATATGCAAATTGAGTATATAAATGTTTTCTTGCTTGACTTTTCTATTTCTCTAAATAATAATAATTTTGCCAGATTCCCTGAATTGAAGTTTTAGAGTCATCTTTGATTCCTCTCTCTTCCTCATTCCCATGTCCAAATTAATCACAAAATATAATCAATAGTTTTTCCAAAATATTCCTCTATTCATTCATTTTCATTTCCCATCTCAGTCCAGAATTTTAAAGACTTAGACTAACACTACAGTTTCTCACGTAGACACTAGTGATAGCTCCTTTTCTGAACAATCATCAGTGTACCCATTTTTACAGATTTTCTTTACCAGAGTGTTGTCTCTTATGTACTCAAAATCTTCCTGACACCCCACTTCATATAAGATTAAATTTAGGGGCTTTATATAGATTTTTTTCTCTGTCTTATAAGTCTTATTCCAAATTTGAAAACAAAATAAACAAAAGTCACAAGATGTTTGGGTCCATACTCACTGTCCCAAGAAAACAGAGAGTTCTAAACCTAGAAAGGCTTAGTAGATTTGTTCCTGGTAATGCCAGGATGGCACAGAGCTGGTTTTCTATGATTTGAGCAGACGTGTAAAGGAGAGTCCTGGAGCCCTCAGTGGCTTTTGCAGGCTTTTATTGAGCTTTTACATGCAGTGCAGCAACCAGGTACATAGCAGACAGGGGTGCCAGTGGGCCAGGAGTCCGGTAGGCCTCTCAGTCCCCAGCAAATCTTTATTCTTTTTTGATCTCGATCTCTCTCTCTCTCTCTCTCTCTCTCTCTCTCTCTCTCTCTGTCTCTCTCTTTCTCTCCTCTTGGAGAATATATCAGTACTGGAGCCATGGCCCAGAAGACTCAACAACACAACTGAAAATAACAATGCGACAAAATGCAGGGGCCACCATCAGGTATGCAATCCTATTGGCTGAGGGCAGAAAAGCCTGAACATCATTTACCCTACATTTCTGTGAAATGTTTTTGCCAGAGCCTTAAAATAGGTTGAAACAAATGTGAACAATTTTAAACATTGTTAGTATCACTTTAAATACTTTAACACATTTTTCACCTCAAAATAATTATTCATCTAAATTTTGCTACATGCCTCAGTGCTAAATGCTTACATTATTCTTATTTTATCCTCATTATCACCTTTATCTCTGTTATTGTCCGTCAAGTTTCTCTAATGTCAATGGTAATTATTCTGTAATTCATTTTTCTAAATTTTGCTGAAAAATTGAAGTGATCTAAATAAATATAATCAAATGGGACTTGAATGGAGCTCTTTAAGAATCAAGGGTAGGGCCTCCCCTGGTGGCGCAGCAGTTGAGCGCTGGCCTGTGAAGCTGCCTGCAGCCTCTGCAGCGCTGGTTCGATCCCTGGTCAACCAGCGAGGGTCCCACATGGCCCGCAGACCTCTCCTGCCACCCACTGCTCCCCTCAGCAGTGTACTTTGGTCCTTCTGCCTGCTCTGCTCCCCGCTCTGGCTCTGGTGAATTCTCTCACCCTCCCGTGCGTCTGACTGTACCCAGTGCTTTATAAATAAATAAATAAATCTAAAAAAAAAAAAAAAAAAAAAAAAGAATCAAGGGTAGATTAACATGAAACAGGCAAACAGCTTCCCTATCCATATTGTGCTTAAAGACAGCCAGAGGAAGAAGAATGGTTTTGTTCAAGAAGATCAGCTGCTGACTTTCCTGGGTCTGTCTGTGTATGTCTACTGAGAAGATCGTAGAACTATGGAATCATTTCTTAGACAACAGTGCCAAACAGAATAAACAAATCTAATGATATTATCATTAGTGGCTGTTGTCAATATCTAGAACTTAAATTAGAACTATGAAATGGAATGCAAGAATGACTAAACTATTAAGTTTCTCTAATTTGATATACTATGAATGTTATTTTTAGAATTAAAATAATTTTAAAAAGTTAAACATTTATCAGCACCATACATGCCCACTTGTTTTCCCTGTTTACCATGTTCACAGTCTCTTCCATAGTAGCCTTGGAGGCACTCACAGCTTCCAGAAAACCTGTCGCAAACTCCATTGTTCTGACACGTGCAATTAAAATAGCAGCCTGGGCCATAATGACCAGGAGAGCATTCTGAAAAGCAAACACCTGTGCATTAGTTCTAGCAGAGGCAAGTTTGTAATGAGTTGGGGAAAAACAGTAGAGTTAATGAAAATTAGAACACGTCATTAACTGACCTAAAAGAGAAAGCACAAATACACACATTTTAAAAATACAAATGAGGAATGATTATCAAAATGAATATATATATAATATATATTATAAACAAATTTAAAAACCTAAATAATATGGAAAAGTCATATAAGACAACTTACCAAAATTGCAATAATTTCAGGCAGAAAGCCAACACAAGCTAATTATAAAAGAAAAATAATAGAGAAGATAGTAATAAAGGTCTTGTATTAAAAAAAACAAACAAGGGGCCTCCCTGGTGGCCCAAGGGATTAAGTGTCAGCACTATGAAGCTATTCTCAGCCACTGCAGCACGAGTTCCATCCACAGCCAAAGAGGTGACCCACATGTTGCAGCAGACCTCTCCTATTTTGCCCACTGCTCCCCTCAGCAGTGTATTTCTGTAGAGCTGCCTGTTCTGCTCCCCACTCTGTCTCTGGTGAATGCTCTCATCCCCTGCACCTCTGGCCTGTACCCCAGTTCTTGTATGCATAAATAAATAATTTTTTTTAAATCAGTCCTAAACTTTACCAGGAAATTCTACAAATCTATACAGATTAGGTCATCACCTTTCTACTTACATTATTCCATAGCTTTGAAAAGGAATGAAAAACTCAAATATAATTTATGTGAATGTAAAACATCAATTTGACTTGATATATAACATCAGATACAATTTAGATTTGACGTAATTTTATTTCAGTATACCATCAATTATAAAATGTGCTAAAATGCATAAAAACTACAGTTCAATTTCACTAATTAATATTTATGTCAAATTCATAGAAAAATATAGACCGAAATGAATAGTATATTATAAAGTAATACCCTAACTAACCAATATTTATTCAAAAAATATAAGGTCACTCAATGTTAGAATATTCATTAATATATCTAGCCTATTTATTGGCTTAAAAGTAAAAGTCACAGTTATTCCATAAAAGCAGAGATAAATCTGAAATAAATCACAAAAAAATTAAGTAAAAAACATTGAATAAATTAGAAGGAATCAGCTGAAATCTGTTAACCCTCACACTCATTAGCTATAATACTAAATAGCTGTTTTAAGTCTCTAAATTTTGGCATTGGTTTGCTATATATGAATAGGTAACCAATCAGGAAGCAAACATACTATGGACACACACACACACACACACACACACACACACACAAATGCTCCCAAACTGGGGTGAATAATTCACAACAAAGAATTAATGTTTTAGTATATATAACTCTTCGTCTTCCAATTGTAAAGAGTAAAGCAGCAACCTTATAGAAAAATGGGCTGTTTTATAGAAAAAGAAATGCAAAAGATCCTTCCTCATTAGAGACCATATTAAATATTTTCATCATAATAAAAATGTCATTTAAAACTCCAGTAATATACTGTAGGGTAAGTAAAATATCAGGCTTTACTGCCCTCCCACCATTAGGATTGTTGATGGAATCTTGTGGTCCTGAATACATGCTTGATGGCAGACTCCTGGAGTAGGGTGTGGACATACTTAAGTGGGACACACCTAGGCGGCTAAGTCTGTGCTTATAAGGACAGCGTCATGGGGCAGCCAGTAGAGAAAAAGAAGTGAGAGAGTGAAAGGAGCAGAGAAGCAAAGGCCATGAGAGAACATCAGAGAGCTCAGAGAAAGTGAAGACTTGCTGGGGGCTTGGGAGCCTGACAGGCATCCCAGCCCCCCAGCACCCCTGCCTGGCATTTACCTGGTAAATTCCAATAAAAGCCTGCAAAAGCCACTGAGGGCTCCAGGACTCCTCCTTTACTTGTCTGCATAAGGTCATAGAGAAAACCTGCTCTGTGTCTTCCTGCCACTACATATACTATTTCTTTATTTTTTTTTAAAGATTTATTTTATTTATACAAGAACCGGGGTAAGGCCAGATGTGCAGGAGGGTGAGAGGATTCACTAGAGATAGAGCAGGGAACAGAACAGGCAGACTAACGAAACACACTGCTGAGGAGAGCAGCGGGCAAGACAGAAGAGGTTTGCCCCGCCGTGTGGGTTTCTCCAAGGCCAGCAGGGATCGAACCAGCACTGCCGAGGCTGCGGAGAGCTTCACAGTGCAGTGCTCAACCACCTGCACCACCAGAGAGGCCCACATATACTATTTTTCACCATAAGTTTGACGACATATTCTTTTGATAAGATTTTAAGAAAACAGACATTCCATGCATTGTTTATGGGGATTCCATATATTCCAAAATAGTTCAAACTCACATGAAGAATTTTTTAAGATGTTGGTAAATTACATTTTTATGTACCTAATGACTCAATAATTCTTGTTATATTTGAAGGGCTTCATGACATTTAAAAGATAGAATCAAAAGTAACTAGATCCAGCCACTCAAAGTACTAGAGATATACCCATTCACATTTTTTTTTTAATTCAGAATTTTTTTTTTAATAGGTAATTGGTGATATTGGTACTACTTTTAAAAGCCTGCTATTAGGGGCCTCCCTGGTGGCACAGGGGTTCAGCACCACACTATGAAGTGATCCACAGCCTCTGCAGCACGAGTTTGAGCCCAGGCCAGCCAGGGAGCAGCCCACATGGCGCAGCAGAACTCTCTGGTCTCGCCCGCTGCTCCCCTCAGCAGTGTATTTCAGTTGGTCTGCTTGTTCTGTTCCCCGCTCTGTCTCTGTGAATCCTCTCACCCCCCTCATCTCTGGCCTGTACCACAGCTCATGTATGCATAATTAAATCTTTAAAAAAATAAAAATAAAGTCTGCTACTATTCTAATTTAATAGTCCCAAATATTATAAAATCAACTACAGCTTTTCCATGAGACATGTCTTAAATGTTAAATTTATAATGGCTGTTTGTTTAATATCCTCACATTCCTATGGGTAACCCAAATCACATAGAGGCCATGAACTTCCCAAAGGCACAGATCATAGTGTCTATAGAGCAGGGGTTAAACTATATGTCTATCCACTCCCCAGGCAAGGTACTTTTGCATAACTATGGTCATGAATGGTGAGCAGTCACATCCATAGGTATAAAGAACTATATAGTCTTTATAATTGAAACCATCTAGATAAAAGTTTATTGTGATGTTATGTTTTTTTCTCTCACAGTTTCTCATATTTAGGCCACCCACCCCAGGCCAGTGTTCTCACCCACATTCCCCCTCATTTCCACAGCAGTTTCTTTCTATTCTGGCAAAATACAACTTTATTTCCTATAATAGCAGACTCTGAATTGGGTATATGTGCTCCAGCATTGCACAAAATTATCACTTGTAGTTCAGGAAAAAAAAAAAAAAAAAAACATTAAAATAGCTGTCAACATTTATATTTGTCTTTTTTTATTTATTTAAAATCTTATATGTTCTATATTATATATATAATACATATTATAATATATCTTTGGGCACTTATATATAATATATGTAATATATTATGTTATAATATAGCTAATATATAATATATATATTATATATTATATATATAAAAAGCTATGTTATAATATAGCTTTGGACACATATATATGTTAAGAATCACATGACAATTACATATAAATAAAAATATATTTATGGTGGTACATGATTAAATTTTTCCTGATGAAGTGAATATTAGAGACCTCTGCTCCAGAGTTCTCCTCTTTACCCCTTATGGCAGGGAGCACTCTAAATGTCAATCAGCTCTGCCCAGGGCTTTGGATCCTCCTCCCTGGCTGCCTCAAGGTCTCCTTGGTGGTTATGCTCCTAGAAAATCAGTGCTCAGCATATATGGTGCTCACAGAGGCTTTAGGGTAAAAAGTGCATGGAGAGTGAGTGGAGTTAAGGTCTCAAAGGACTTCTTTGACATTAGTAGGATTTCATTTTTTTTATTTTTTTATTTTATATATTTTTTACATCATTTTCTCTGGCCTACAATAGCTAAGCTATGGAAACAACCCAAATGGCCAAAAATAGATGATTAGATCAAGAAGATGTGATACGTATACACAATGGAATATTACACATCAATCAAAAAAGATAAACTCATGCAATTTGCAGCAACATGGATGAAGCTGGAAGGGATCATGCTCAGCAAAATAAGCTAGAAAGAAAAAGAAAGGGCCTCCCTGGTGGTGCAGGCTGTTGAGCACAGTGCTGTGAAGCTGGAACCTCTGCAGCGCGGGTTCCATCCCGGCCAGTCAGCGAGAATCCCACATGGCAAAACAGACCTCTCCTGTCTCCCCCGCTGCTCAGCAGTGTATTTCTTCAGCTTGCCTGTTCTGTTTCCTGCTCTCTCTGGTTAATCCTCTCACCCTCCCGCACATCTGGCCTGTACCCCGGTTCTTGTATAAAAATAAATAAATCTTTAAAACAATAAAGAAATGATAATAAGAAAAAGAAAAATACCAGATGATCTCACTCATAGCAGGAATTTAGAATACCTAAATAAGGGACCAGGAGAAAGACTAATTATAAAAAAGGATTTGAATTTCCTAAGAGTTTTCATGTGGCTTCCAGTAACAAGGTAAAAAAAAAAAAAAGTGAAACAATATTAGCATAACACTATTTTATTGAAAATTTTAATAATTATAAAAAAAAACCTTGCATGACCTTTTTAGAAAACGGTTTCTTCACAGGAGTGTCTATTGCATTTTGTCAACCAGTGGCAATGGCTTCAGTTTTTATTGAGTGAAATAAGGTAGTAATCAACTTACGCTTTCCACAGTCATTTCCTGTCCATCCATGACCACAAGTACAACTTCCATCCACAGGATTGCAAAGGCCACCATTTTTACACATACATTTTAGCTCACAATTTGAGCCATATCTTCTATGGGGACATCCTATAGTGAAAATATATGATATGATATACATATATATATATATTAAATGGAATAACATTGGCATAAAATGGAATAAAATGGGGCCTCTCCTGGTGGCGCAGGGGTTGAGTGCTGGGCTGCGAAGCTGCCCGCAGCCTCTGCAGCACTGGTTCGATCCCCGGTTGCCAGGCAAGGGTCCCACATGGCGCGCAGACCTCTCCTGCCGCCCGCTGCTCCCCTCAGCAGTGTACTTTGGTCCTTCTGCCTGTTCTGCTCCCCGCTCTGGCTCTGGTGAATTCTCTCACCCTCCCGCGCTTCTGACTGTACCCAGTGCAAACAAAACAAACAAACAAACAAACAAATAAATAAATAAAACATGCCTCTATTTAAAGAAAATAAATAAAATAAAAAAATGGAATAAAATGTCTGTGCTTTAGATAGAATAATACTATCTCTATAATAAAATCATACAAAAATGCTCAAATTAAAACAATTACTCAGATGTAACTGCCAATTCAGTAAGCATTTCGCTGTCACTCATTCACATTTTTATTCTCTCTAGAAATATCTATTGTAACTATGTGCCTGGTGTACTCTGGGAAATGGGATATCCTAGTGCATGAGAAGAGGTCAATTCCAGATTAGCAATGGGAATATTTTGTATATTTTTGTATATTTTTTGAATATTTTGTATATTTACTCTTGTAATATATAGACAGATGAGCAATTTGCTATTTAATGTGTTTAAATCTGAAAAGCACTTCAGCATATGTAACAGTAACAGAAATGCACTGTCAAAAGGAATTAAGACTTGAGTGAGTGAAGTTGACCAGATATAAGAAAACTGAGCTGCCTATTCATTATCAAAGGGAGAACAATTTAATGATGGGAAGTGCCACTAGTGAAAAAGCAAAGCCTCTTTAAGTCTAGACTAATCACTACTCACATTTAGTTGGTTTCACTATGAAGAATATGGGTCCCCTATTGCCAGCTAAAATGATTTTTTAGGAAAACTTAAAATCCATATTTTAAATAAAATCATCCAATCTTTGAAAGTCGGTAAGTAATTAAAATGTTTTACAGCACTGTGGAAGCCAAAACTTTGTCAGCCAATTCAAACACATTTGTGGCTACGTTTGGCCAAGTTCCTGTCATTTATACCCTCCAGTTTATAGTATTTTTACATAATTATATTTTCCACATGAATTATCTCATTTAATGTACACAGTCTCTCTATGATGTGGGTAACAAAATTCTAATTTTGCACTTGAGAAAACTGAATCTCAGAGACTCAACTTATACAGAATTAAGTGCCCAGTAAAGATAAGAACTAAGTTCAAACCAAAAATTTCATTTTTTTCTTATTATTTATTTTATTTTACTTTATTTTTAATTACATTTATTGAGGTGATATTGATTTACACACTGTATATGTTTTAGAGATATGGGGTCACATCTCTACTCTACAAGTGTATGTTCTCATTGCCACACCTATCGGCAAAGCCCTAGTAACTCTCCACCATGGGTCACTGGGTTTCCCCCTTGCTCGCTCCCCTTCAAAGACCCTCCCCCTCTGGTAGTCAGTACTGCTGTCATATTTCAGGGGATTGTTTTTGTCTGTTCTTTGGCTTTGTATTTTTATATTCTATCTATGAGTGAAATGATTCTATATTTGTCTTTTTCCTTATGCTTTGTTTTGCTTTTGCATCATCCCCTCCAGTTCCATCCTTGTTGCAAAAAACAAGATCTCAACTTTTTTTTTTCTTTTTATAACTGAGTTGTATATATACACCAAATCTTCTTTATGTACTCTTCTGTCAATTGAACATTTAGGATGTTTCTACAAGATGGCTATTATCAAAAGTACTGCAGGGAGCCTCCCTGGTGGCACAAGGGGTTAAGCACAGCACTATGAAGCTATCCACAGCCACTGCAGCACAAGTTCAATCCCCATGCAGCCTGAGAACAACACACATCGTGCAGCAGACCTCTCCAGATTTGCCTTCTGCTCCATTCAGCAGTGTATTTCAGTCAGTCTACCTGTTCTGTTCCTCGCTCTGTCTCTAGTGAATTCTCTCACCCCTCACGCCCGATACACACATCTCTGGCCTGTACACCAGTTCTTGTATGCATAAATAAATAAATCATTAAAAAAAAAGTACTGCAGAGAACTATGAGTGCATATATCCCTTTGAATTAGTGTTGTATTTTTCAGGTTAGACACCTAGATGTGAAATAGCTGAATTCATATGGTGAATCTAATTTTAATATTTTGAGAAATCTCCATACTATTTTTCATAGAAGCTAGACTAGGTATACACCCACCAACAGAACAGAAGGATTCCTTTTCCCCCATACCCTCATCAACACTTGTTGTTTCTGGTTTCTTGATATAGGACATTCTCACAGGTGTGAAGTGGTATCTCATTGTAGCTTGAGGTTGAATTTTCCTGTTAGTAAGTGATTTTTTTTTTTTAACCTTGCTTTATGAATGAGATAAAATCTTGCCAGTTTGAGAGGCCTGGAGAGAATCTGCATATTTAACAGTCCTGGTCTAAATCAGTATTATGGCTGACATAGTTTCCCTTTGCACTTTGCATGCAGATTCACCTTGACTGAAGAGAAAGAGAAGGGGAGCTCATGTTCCCGGAATAAGGTAGAGTGATGGGAGAAAAGTACACAGAATTAAGAGGGACCCTTCCCACCCAGAAAAAAAGACCAGAAAGATTCAGCTAAACCAGAGTCTTCAGGCAGATCTAAAGCCTTCTGGGAGTGCTGCTATCTTGCAGTGTCCTATACTTTTCACTCTCCAATTAACTCTGTTGCTTGGGTTATTATTGATGCTTAGTGATTTTTTTTTTTCTCCTAAGACACCAAGGACCTTTGCCTCTTGCTGTCCCCCAACACTATAGCTACATTTTTCAAAGATTTCTAAATTACTACAAGTGGACCTCCCTCATTTCTTTTTAGTTGCTACATAGGATTTTTGCATTTAATAACATTTATTTTACAACTTCACTATTGTTAACTGAAAAATATAATCTCAAGAATTTTAGACAGAGATTATTAGAAAATCCAAGTGAGGCTTCAAAACCAAGTAGCAGCCCAAACAGATCTTTATTCTTTGAGAGTAGTTATGTCAAACACAACCCAAGATCTAGTTTATATGGCCAGAAACAGTGAATCACGGGCATCTAGAATATAACTATTTTTGGTAGAAGGGGCTTGTAGCTGTAATTGTCCTGATTCAGAGAAATGACAATACTGGAGGGAGGCAATGCAGGACCCAATCTCCTTCCTTCGGATGCATTGCAAAGACTAAAAGACTTTGCAGCCATTCTTAATTGCTTTTTTTTTTTTTGGTCTAAAAAAAAAAAGACTGACATCATCAGAAAAATAGATTTCTATTCAAAAGATGGAGCCTGTGAAAATAGCTTGTTAGTTTGACAGCAAAGGGCAGGGATCAGGTCCCCAGACATATTATATTATACTATTTGTGGACTAGTAGATTGTTTAAAATATTTTGCTACTATGTGCGTATGAATATCCTTATGGTAGTCTTTATTCATGTTTAATATCATACCTGTCAGGTAAGTTCTAAAAAGATGATTTTCTCAATAAAACAACAGGTACTACTAATGATGGAGCACAAGAATAGAAAAGAAACTGAAAAAGAGGTGCACCGCAAGACCATCAACCTGGCTCCCACAGAGCCGGGGATAGAAGAGATTAGCACAGCTAATGGAAACAGCTAATTGACACAGCTATGGAAACCAAGATCCTTAGGTGCAGAGGACACAGATGCAGAAACTAGTATCCTTAGGCTCAGACTATGATCCTTAGGCGCAAATGCCTAGATTACAAAGCATAACATCCAAACAGGTATCAGAGGGTGCATCCAAAGATAAAGATATGGAGATTGAGCCCATTGTAGAATCTCCTGTCCCTTTCTAATTCTAAATAGTTATCCAAAATTAGCAACCAACTGACAGCTCACAAGGGGTGACCCCTCCCTAAAAGAAGAAGACTATATCAGATCAGTATCTTCACAGGCTTGGGGCAGCACTCCATCTGCCCACCTGTGACTTTCACCCACTGTCTCCTGCAGGGCAGCAGATTCCTGCCTGCCCGTGACCAGCACCATGCCAGGACTTCTTTTCACTGACCTCTCTCAGTGGAGGCCACTCTCCTCAAGGCCACCTGCCTGCAACCATGCAGACCTCTCTCAGCAAACCTGTCCCTTTGGGGCAGCTCTTCCTGGCAGCTTGTATCTATGCAAGTGCTCTTTATTTTTCTGTCCTTTTCCCTAATAAGCCTGTTATTTAAATATAACTACCATCTCCGTCTCATGGAGAAACATGCCTGGGAACTCACTGCATGTTGCTGAGACGGGAACTCTAGTGAAACCTTTCCCAGAGTGAGCCCAAGGACCCGACACTACAAACCCACTAACTCCAAAAACAGCAACACTACTAAATGATAATAATCATTATTAAAATTTCCTACAAAGAGATTTGCTAATTTATTAAGGATTGTCACTGTGACTATTTTTCAATTTTCAGTCAAACCATTGTAATATGAAAAATTAATAGGTGAAGATGCTGTTTGAATTTGAATTTCTCACATTATGAATGATGCTTATCAACAACTCATAAAACATATTGTCATGGGATTCTTATTGATAAATAAAGACCTTCACTTGTTATGAAAATTAGTATTTTGTTGGTCTTCCTTCTTCTAGCTTATCTTTTGTTTTATGCCTCAAGAATATTTTGTTTTGGGCCTCCCTGGTGGCGCAGGCAGTTGAGCACTGGGTTGCGAAGCTGCCCGCAGCCTTTGCAGTGCCAGTTCGATCCCCGGCCACAGGCAAGGGTCCCACATGGCATGCAGACCTCTCCTGCTGCGCCCACTGCTCCCCTCAGCAGTGTACTTCAGTCCTTCTGCCTGTTCTGCTCCCTGCTCTGGCTCTGGTGAATTCTCTCACCCTCCCGCGCTTCTGACTGTACCCAGTACCTGTATAA